CCTTTGAGTGTAATTTCGAATTTTTCTTTGAATTTTTTCAAAAATATACAGAGCACTTTTTTTTGAAAGACGAAACCTTTTTACAAATGTATACTCGTCATATTCCTCAAAGAAATTTGCTTTCGCTCCATATGTTCGCGGTTTTCTTATAACGCGCATCGAATCCAAATTGGAAATAATAGAAAGCCCAATTATATGTTCCATAATTATAAAAATGTGCGTGTAAATAACAATAAATTAATTTTTGATGTTTTTTACAGCTGTCAGATGTCACTTTTTGATCGGTTAGCAGCTAACCGGTGGCCATCGCCTGGTAAACTTAATCGGTTGTTAACCGACGAATTTGTGCTAATCGGGCATTGAAAAAACGCTTTTTCACCAAAACACCGATTAACCCCCGTTTAGGCACTAATCAGTCTTTAAGAAACCGGCCCTAAATATTTCAACCAAGGTTTTGGTTTTTGCTAACAGTTGCTCTTGCTCTATATTTGCTTATGTTGCATTGTCAACCTTTGAAATTATATGTTCTACGGAACAACAAATTTATTTTTACCGGTAAGATAAGAAACCCAAAACATTTTAAAGTGAGGAACAATTTATCTGCCCTGTTAGTAAAGGCAACTTTACTGCTTACATTAGAAATTTGTGTCGAGTACACCGGCACACGAAATAAATTAGTGATGTGTATTTGACCGGACCTACATATGGATATGTTTTTCGGCCAATATACCTTCTAGATTTCGAGAAAACTTCAAAAAAAAACGTAAAAATAGTGAAAAATCGGCAATAAAAAATGGTTTTTTGAAGTTTTCTCGAAATCTAGGAGGTATATTGGCCAAACTGAATTCAAATTCGGATTCTGCGGGTCGAAATACATAACCATAGGAAGGTCCGGTCAAATGCACATCACGCCTTTTTTTTGTGTGCCGGTGTTATTAGTGCGAAAGCTTCTTCAGGCGAAATACCTTTAGGACTCTTCTTTACCAATATGACCTTCTTAATAGCAGTACCTCTTTTTGGAGTTCTTAAAAGCTCAATAAGTTCGGCAACTCGGTTCGATAACTTTCGAAAGCTCATTAGCTTTCTTCCTTTTAACTTTTTGGCAACAATCTTCAAAACTTTTAGCTGGCCTACCAGCAGAAAATGTCGGCTTACCAAACTTAGAACACACAAATTGTAACAAGTCTATTTCAAATTCGAGCCAAT